CTGAGCGAGTGCAGAGGTGGTACCTGATGGCCTGAGCGAGTGCAGAGGTGGTACCTGATGGCCTGAGCGAGTGCAGAGGTGGTACCTGATGGCCTGAGCGAGTGCAGAGGTGGTACCTGATAGCCTGAGCGAGTGCAGAGGTGTTGCCATAGGCTGATGCATAGAACACGGCCACTGTGGCCTCTTCAGCCTGCTTGATCTTCTCGTCCGTCCACTGCATGGAAGGAAATACAGAAAGAAAAGGGGGTGGGTTGGGTGGGTAACGTGGTGGGAAAAAAGAGGCCATGTGTTAGCAAAAGTTGGAAGAAGGCTGGAGGTAGAAGCAAGCATGACCAGAAAGCGGCTCCCCCTCCTCCATCCATGCCACTGCGCCCTTCCTATCGCCCTGAATAACCTTCCCCGTACCTTCTTACCTACAACAAGCACCATGCCCTTCCCCTAGGTAACCCCAACGCACAATCTTGTATTCGCGGACGAGCTCAGTGACACTGTTGCGGATGATGGGGCCGTGCAGGGGGCAGATGGCCGCCGTCACCAGCGGCTCTCCCCCCACCCCCGGAACGGCGCCCTTCTTATCGCTGCCCACTTTGAGGCGCAGATTAGCCGCTGTGTTGATGTCGAGGTTGAGCGCTGAGACAAGGCGCGAGAAGATGAACCCCACGTCCGCCTGGTGTGTTATGGGGAGGAGCGGGTGGATGGGGGGAGAAATGGGTTCTGACTTTACTGGTGCGCCGGAGATTAGCCGATTTGTTGATGTCAAGGTTGAGCGCGGAGAGGAGGCGCGAGAAGATGAACCCCGCGTCCGCCTGGGGGGGCAGCGGGGGCATGGTGAGGAGTAGGCGAGGGGTGAGTTAACGAGGGAAGGTTGAGGCGAGAATGAATTCTGAGTTGAATGAGAAGCCGGAGAAAGGCTGCCGCGCCAATGTCAAGGTTGAGGGCGGAGAGGAGCCGTGAGAAGATGAACCCCACGTCCGCCTGAGGGGGGATGGGAGGGGTGGGCGAGAGGTGGGGGAAAGAGAGAGGGTAGTGGAGGGAGGAATAAATTCCAAGTCGAATAAGAAGTCGGAGATTGGCTGCTGTGCCGATGTCAAGGTTGAGCGCTGAGAGGAGGCGCGAGAAGATGAACCCCACGTCCGCCTGGTGTGTTATGGGGGGGAGCGGGTGGATGGAGGGAGATATGGGTTCTGACTTTACTGGAACGCTGGCGATTGGCTGTGGTGCCGATGTCAAGATTGAGCGCTGAGAGGAGACGCGAGAAGATGAACCCCACGTCCGCCTGGGGGGGAATACGGCATAGGGAGGGGTTGTGGTGGTGGTGGAAAGAGGCAGGGTGCAGGGAGAAATGGACTTTGCGTCAACTGGAGTGTCAAGGTTGAGCACTGAGAGGAGGCGCGAGAGGATGAACCCCACGTCCGCCTGAGGGGGAATAGGGAGGGGTGGTGGTGGTGGAAATGGAGAGGGTGGAAGGGTAAGTGAGGGATAAAAGGAACGGGCATGATGACTCTATGAGGGTTCTTGAGGAGCCGTGACGGGGGTTGGGAGAGGAGCGGGGGTGGAGGAAAAGGTGGAATCTGAGTCGACTCAGGCACACCAGCTCAAGTGCAACGGACAGTGGTAACCAGGTCCAGCAGGCGTAACAATCAAATGTAACTCGGGTGTGGTAACCAGCTCACCTTGACGACGTCCAGGCCCGTCTTGCCCGCGTAGGAGGGAGGGGCGGTGAACTGAGCCACCACTGGGAGCTTCTTGAGCCCCGTGTGTGTTTTGAGTCGACTCAAAACACTTAGTCGCGCAGTGGTACCTATCCAGCTCACCTTGACGACGTCCAGGCCCGTCTTGCCCGCGTAGCAGGGGGGGGGTGAGCTGAGCTGCCACTAGGAGCTTCTTGAGAGAGAGCCACGTGTGTTTTAACAACAACGCAATGTAGGGCAGTGGTACAACTATCCAGCTCACCTTGACAACGTCCAGGCCTGTCTTGCCCGCGTAGCAGGGAGGGGCGAACTGGGCCACCACTGGGAGCTTCTTCAGAGCAGCGTCCACCTGGGAGACACACGGTGGGAGGGGAGGACGAGGGGTATGGGTGAGAGGATGAGGGGATGTGACGATGAGGGTGAGGGGGGATGAGGACATGAAGGGTGAACAGGAGCACATGTGCTTGGCAGCACGGCATGAGCCAGAGACAGGAGCACATATGCCAGGGGCGAGCATGCAGGCGTACCTGCTTGGCGACGGGGGCGAGCATGCAGTCATAGAAGTAGCGCCAGTGCATGTCGTACACCTCTATTGAGTTGACTCTCGCAGCATGAGCCAGAGACTATGCCCGGGGAACAGTCACCTCGTACCTGCTTGGCGACGGGGGCGAGCATGCCGGTGTACCTGCTTGGCGACGGGGGCCAGCATGCAGTCATAGAGGAAAGCCAGTGCATGCCGTACACCTCTATTGAGGAGACTCAAAAGTCACCTCGTACCTGCTTGGCGACGGGGGCGAGCATGCAGTCATAGAAGAAGCGCCAGTGCATGTCGTACACCTCTATGCCGCCCACGTCAAAGTCCTCCCCCATGCACACATGCGTGCTGCACGGGCGGAGTGGTGGAGAGGGATGGAGAGGGATGGAGAGGGGTTGAGAGGGGTGGAGCGGGGGAGAGGGAGGAAGAGGGGAGGAAGTAAGGGAGGGAGGATTGTTGTGACATGATGAAGAGGAGGAGAAGAGTGAGAATGTGAGTGTGCCCATCCCCACCTACGACCAACGGCACCCGAAAGTGAGGGTTCCTGCTGGCACCCGGAATCGAAAAATCAACTGGTTGAGAGGCACCCCGACCTGAAGAGCTTGTTGGTGAAGAGCAGCTGTGACTTGGGGTCGTAGGTGGTGAGCCCATCGGGCCAGCGGGGTGTGGGCGTGAGGATGAACTGCAGGTTGTGCCCGCCGCCCAGGTCCAGCGTGTCCCCCGCGCGCACGATCTGCAGGTCAAACGTCGCGTCCAGAATGTCTGCTGGCACTAAGGAGGTGAGCGTCTGGTGCGCCGGGTTGGACAGAAACACCTTGATGGGAGGCTCTGGTGAGCGGGGGGGAGGGGAGAGGGATGGGAAAGGCATCGCAATTAAAGGTGCATGTATTGAAGCGTGTAGAGGCCACAGATGCATGCACCTATCATGCGCGCACGATCTGCAGGTCAAACGTCGCCTCGAGAATGCCTAAGGAGGTGAGCGTCTGGTGCGCCGGGTTGGACAGAAATACCTTGATGGGCATACACCTATCATGCCCGCGCCCCACTAACCTGTTAGCGGGTGCGTCTTGGCGAGCTGAATAATACTGTCCACCCGCTTCGGGCTCAGATGTCCGATGATGAGATACGCGAGATGCTCCGCGTCCTTGGCCTCGCGCACAAACGCGTCCACGAATGCTTTGTGAGCGCGCCACCTCAACGCTCACCTGTTAGCGGGTGCGTCTTGGCAAGCTGAATAATACTGTCCACCCGCTTGGGGCTCAAATGCCCGATGATCAGGTACGCGAGGTGCTCCGCGTCCTTGGCCTCGCGCACGAACGCGTCCACGAACGCGCGCGCGAAGGCCCTGTCGGGCACGTCGATGAGCGCGGCGCCCAGGGGCCCCTCGATGACGTAGCTGTTCTCCGTGGTGCCGGCGCGCAGCCCGTACTCCACCTCAAACTTGAACCGCTCGTAGCACCGCCCGCGCAGCGTGAACGTGTCGTCCGTCAGCCTCACCGCCCGCACGTCCTTCTCCTGCCGGGGGGGGGAAGTTGGGGGGAATGGGGGAGGGAGGGAGGGAGGGAGGGAGGGAGGGAGGGAGGGAGGGAGGGAGGGAGGGAGGGAGGGAGGGAGGGAGGAGAGGGAGGGAGAGAGGGAGGGAGAGAGGGAGGGTAGGCGGAAACGCGGACGTGGGGAAGAATGAAGGTGTCGTCCGTTACGCGCATCAACCGCACGTCCTCCTCCTGAGAAACTCAAGCGAGTGAGGAGGGACGCGGGCGGCGATGTGGAACGAAGGCTTGCCCAAAGAGTGATGCCCTAAGAGTGACGTCCTGAGAAGCCCACATGACATTCGGTTCGGTTGACATGGACATATACACTGCTTCCATCCCAAAGGCCAGACGCTCTCGTGCTTCTTGAATAAACAGCTGGCTTTCAGCAGCATCAAGTGTTCGGCGGCCGTTCTTCTCACCTCTTTAACGATCGGTGCTTCTGGCTGCTGCTGTGCGACGGCTGCTCGCACCCCCAACGCCCTCTGCCTCTGCTTCTGCCTCTGCCTCTTCCCCGCGTTGCGCTGCACTCGCAACACATGTTGCAAGAAAACGGGTGGACAATGAGAGCGGAATGGAAGAAACAAAAAGTGGGAGGAAGGCAAGTCAGATGGGATACAGTGGAGAGAGCGAGTTCGCTTTGAACACAATGGTGCCAAGTTCTCAGAATATAGTCATCACGTAACGCTAATGTAAGAGACGCCAGTGATTGTAGAAATTTCTTCATGTAACAGTTTATGGCGACCGTGCCAACCAGCAAGGTTACATAGGGTAACCATAAGATTATTCACCTCAGGGAGAATGGCAGCAGAGGAGCCGATGTGCGCCGGCCGGCGCGACTGGTGCAGGCCTGTATGTGATGGGAACAGACTGACGCTAGCGCTGGTAGCGGATGTCGCATTCGCCTGTAACGCGGATGGCACGGAAAGCGCGCCGCTGGCGGCAGGCGCGCAGCAGAGCTGAGACGCCATCTGGTCGGATGAGTGGGAAATAACACGAAAGAGCAAGAGGTAGAGTAACAGGGGGGTGGTTGTGAATGGAATTGTATGGTATGGCTCACGAGCTTTATTAACGCCAGGTTTGCATCAAGTGGATTCCTGAACAATGGAATCAGCATGAAAGCTGCCCGAACAATCTAGATTCTGAAGCAATATATTCCCTAAGCTACAACCCAAGCAACCTTGGGACGGCAAAAGGTAGCCATACGTAGATTTCAACACCTGACGGCACGCGACAGTTCTGTACCTTTAAACGTCAAGCAAGGCTGAATGTAAGCTGAGAAAAGTAAGCTGAAAGAAACGCCTTGTAAGCTAAGAAAGGTAAGTCAGTCCCCGTCCTACTACAAGCCTGGAAAATGACGATTGTGAAATGCCAGCTGAGCTGGGAAATTTTCTTGGTTTGAGTCAGGAATGGATTCAGGAAAAGGCAACCCACCATGATGATTGGTTTGGAAAAGCAAGTTCCATCCATTCCATTCCACGATGCTATGCCAGCTCTCTGGTTCCTGGAATGTGGAGGAATCTAGGAGATGACCTCGGGGAGATGGACCACCCCGCTGGCAAGTGTGGGTCATTGAACGGCCAATGCTCTGCCACCTGGACACCACGGCAGAGTGCTGCGTCAGCCCGCGCGATGTTGACGTGAGACTCTGCTCGTCGGAAAGATACAAGGCTGGCTGTTGCCGAACTTTCGGAAGCATAAGCAAAGAGGCTCATGGATGTACAGTAATTTCGATATGTAAGAAAAAACAATCTCAGAGTTATAATTCGCTGAGCAGAAGGAATACGGTACTGCTGATCCTCCTACTTCATGCTACAAGGTCCTTGTCATTGTTAGTCCAAGTAAAGAAACGTAAAATATGTGTACGTAAAATGTGTGTAAGGGAGCTGCATCTGTACACTGCATGGCATTCACGGTACTATAAAGGGTGGCGGCAGCAGGGGCAGCTTGAATGCCCTCCCATAATCCACGGCATAATGCAATCATGGTGGAAACCATGAGCACATGGTAACCACATCAGACGGGAACCATTCTCCATACTTTCCAAGCACACGGTGCACTCCTGCCCATCTGCAATAAGCATACGCCCATCCTCATCTTCAGAATCACTTGCTGCATAGCCAGCAGCGCAACTGGAAAACACAGCCTTCCCTTTCCCCTTGTCAGAATCTGAAAGAGACAAACGTTGTATACCATCACACGCATTGTCAACGGCGTCACCAGCTGCAAATCCAACCAAATCCGATCCTGCACCCATGTTCCGGTCGCTCACTGTGTTGCTGCCACCAATCCCTTCCGCAGCCCCACTACCGCCATGACCACTGCTGCCTCTCCTGCTCCTACCACTCCTGCTGTTGCTGATACTTTGAGAATGCTGCTGATGGTGGTGATGGTGATGGTGGTGGTGCTGGTGGTGATGTTGGCGGTGGCTGTGGCTGCTGCTCCTTTCCCTGCTGGCACTAGTACTGGCATGTCCGCTGCTGCCACCGTGCTGATTATGCATGCTGTTCTGTGCTCCCCTGCTCTCTCCACCAATGCGCCCACTGCTGTGATCATGACTGCTGCTGCTACTCCGACTTCTGCTGTTGCTACCACTGCTGCTGCTACTGACACCACTGATCCTGCTCCTACTGCTGCTACTGCTCGTACTGCTGCTGCCGCTGCTTCGACTACTCCTGCTGCCCGTGTCACAGCCCCCACCATCGCGACCACCAAGCTCAACGTCCTCGTCTGCACCAGCAACACTTGCTTTCCTGCTGCTTCCGCTCTGCTTCCTCATGCTTCCGCTGCTTCTAATGCTGCTGTGGCTGCTTCCACCTGCTTCAACCCTCTCCCTCCCATCAACCTCTCGCACTTCAATCCTTCCCATCTGCCCTTCATCTCCCCCTCCTCCTTCTCTACCCACACCCTCTCCCGACCGTGCTCCCATCCCACTCCGGGTAGTACTACAAAACGCCCTCTCCCTAGTGGTGTGGTCGTCCGCAAACACCCTGCCAGCCGCCCGCAGGGCATCTGATTGGCCGACGCTTCTGGGAGTCATAACCGCAGCAGCCATCACGGAACCTTCTGCCACGTGGCCGTATGTTATTGGCCGAGAGCAGGCTGCGGAAGCTGAACCCGGGGGGAGCCGCGGAGGCTCCTCTAGGGTGGGCGGAGGGCGGAGCCCTGCTGCGCGCAGGCGCTGGTCCAAACGCAGGCGCGCCTGCAGCGCGGGTCCCTGGTGTGGGGGAAGAGGAGGGGTAGGGGAGAATAGAGCGAGAGCTGACGTCACGTGGGAGGAAAATATGATTAATGGTTATAAAACTGTGGAAATAGCCTCGCTAGCTAGCTGAAATCACTTAAAAATTGGTCACGAAAGTATCAGCCGAAGATACTGGTATGGAGAAAACACACCTACCCTAAACTGTCAAAGCTGGTCATTATGAGGCTCCGGTCCCACCTGCAGCGATTCGCGGTGGCTCTGACGCGCTTCGAGCTGTCTCTGTTTCAGCCGCTCCTTCCAAGGGAGCAACTCGCCGCGCTCAACCGCGCGACCGAACTCTATGTCGTCGGACGGACCTACATCGCCGGAAACGCTATTCGACGACGCGGCTGAGATGGTACCGGCGGTAGCTGTCGCGGCAATTTCGAGGTTCGTGCCGTGGGTATGTTCTGTCCAGTGTCGCGACCTCGGTGACGTCGTGCTCCCTCGCACAGGGTCGCACAACGCGTCGCCAGCGGGGCTATGCGACGTCCGTACTCGGCTACGGTGGCGTCGTGCGGCAAGCGCGGAGAGATGTGACATTCGCGAAAGCACCGAAATAGTTAAAGTCGCGTTCCGTGAGTCGACAACAGGTGTGTGACCTAGAGATAGTGGGGTTCGGGAAAAAAAAAAGTTCGGAAGTTTGAACTGAAAGCATGAATGAAGGGATGGATGGGTAGTGCGATACAGTGTGCGCCTCGAATGCAGTACAGTGCGATATACAACGGATGTGAATCAAACAATATTATTACTAACTGGAAATTTTCACGGGAAATACAAACCTTCGCTTTCATGCAGCTGCGTTGTTGTGTGCGTAATGTGTTTCAGCAATCGAATGTGGGCATTTTCACGTTGAGATTTTAATCATAATGGCATTTCCGGATCATCAGCGCATATTAACCTCTGGTGTCACTTGCATTGCTGGTCAGGGGGCGGTCGATTAGCCTGGAGCGAATTTGAACAAATAGCTGACTAATAGTAGGAGATCCAAATGACGATGATGGCATGTATGGTGAAACTACAAAAACATGTAGAACTATCCAAAAGGGGGGCTTTTCAAACGTATGGCATGCACTGAGTTGTGTGAGAATCCCAACCACTACACCATCTATAGTGCACTCTTTATCCTTCTTTATTTTCCTAGTTACGAGTTTCCTAAAACCTAGTTCGGACGTGGTATCTAGAGCGATAAGATTCTAGGCGTGTGCCTCTCTATGGCGCCTCGTGGTCATTGGCCCGTCGCGACTGTCGTGGACCTCCGTCGCGGCCCTCGTCTCGGCCCCTTTGTCGGCCCCCGTTACGGCCCCTGCTGTGCTAGCTGCGCTAGCAACACTTGCCGCGCCAGCAGCACCTGCAGCGCCAGCCGCCGCTGTCCTGCCGCGACTGCCACTGTGGGGGGAAGGCGAAGTGGGTGGCGGACAACACTTCGGACAGCGCTGCGGACCCTCCCCCCCCCCCCCCCCCCCCCCCCCCCCCCCCCCCCCCCTCCTCCTCCTCCTCCTCTTCCTGCACCTGCCGCGGCTGCTGCTGTCGGGGGGAGACTGCAGGGGTGGCAGCAGGAGATGGCGGCAGTGGCTGACGACGGGATGATGCGGCACACGCGCCCTGCTGCAACTGCCGTCATAGGCGGGGGATGCAGGGGGTGGCAGCAGTGGCTGACACCGCTGCTGACGCCACTGGACCTACTGTCGCCGCTCCAATGGCTTCCGCTGTGCAACTCTCTCCTCCTCCTCTCCCTGTCTCCCTTTTCGATGTGCATCTCCTTCTCCTTTCCATGTTCTCCGTGTTATCCGTGTCTTCTATTTGCTGGATTGCTCACCTGTCGCACGCCTGTCGGGCACCTCCCGCGCGCCGATGCTGCGCGGTACAGTTGTTGCACGTCAGTTGCTGTGCGTCAGACTCTCAGCGCCAGCCGTCACTTGCTATTTGCTGCATGCAGCTAAGGGGGTGTGTCGAAACAATGCGCCATTAGCAGCACCCTCAGGCACCGCAACATTGCACCCCTCCACCCCAATTGAGTTCACGCTGCTCGACTGAGATGGGTAGAGAGAGGGGGGATGGGTGGAGGGAGCAGATAGGGGAGGTGAAAGTGGCAAGGAGAGGAAATGAGATAGCAAATGAAGGACACAACGGGAAAACAGAAGTATTGAAGCAAAAACGGATGAGAGCATAAATGTGAAACGAGTGCTGATGCTGGATGTCAAACCAGAGGCTGGATGGGCCACAGCTGTGTCGAGTTTCGCTCTTGAGGTGTTGGCTCTCGGAGTGTTGCTCCTGAGTGTTCCACTCCTTTTGTCCTGAAACCAGGGAATGGGCTGGTGAGAGGGAGAAAAAAGGATACGGGATGCCGTAAACTGGTCCAGTGATGGAATAAAGCAGTGAAAGATAATCACGAGCGACAAATGAAGCAAAGGCAGGCAAAACTGGAAGAATTCAGAAGTGAAACCAAGGTGGAAGGATGCAATGAAAACAGAGAGGCGATGGTAGCTCATGGCACTAGGTTGGCGAGATAGCAGGCAAGGGGGAAGGTAACATGTGCGTTATGGTAACATGCGCGTTATGGTAACATGTGCGTTATGGTAACATGTGCGTTATGGTAACATGTGCGCTATGGTAACCTGTGCGTTATGGTAACATGTGCGTTATGGTAACAGGTGCGTTATGGTAACTGGTGCGTTATGGTAACTGGTGCGTTATGGTAACAGGTGCGTTATGGTAACAGGTGCGTTATGGTAACAGGTGCGTTATGGTAACATGTGCGTTATGGTAACATGTGCGTTATGGTAACAGGTGCGTTATGGTAACAGGTGCGTTATGGTAACATGTGCGTTATGGTAACACTTGGGTTAGTGCGTTATGGTAACATGTGCGTTATGGTAACATGTGCGTTATGCTAACAGGTGCGTTACGGTAACATGTGAGTTATGGTAACAGGTGCGTTATGGTAACAGGTGCGTTGTGGTAACAGGTGCGTTATGGTAACAGGTGCGTAATGGTAACATGTGCGTTATGGTAACATGTGCGTTATGGTACCAGGAGCGTTATGGTAACAGGTGCGTTATGGTAACAGGTGCGTTATGGTAATGGGTGGGTTATGGTAACAGGTGCGTTATGGTAACAGGTGCGTTGGGGTAAAAGGTGCGTTATGGTAACATGTGCGTTAGGGTAACAGGTGCGTTATGGTGACACTTGCGTTAGTGCGTTATGGTAACAGGTGCGTTATGGTAACATGTGCGTTATGGTAACAGGTGCGTTATGGTAACAGGTGCGTTATGGTAACAGGTGCGTTATGGTAACACTTGCGTTAGTGCGTTATGGTAACATGTGCGTGATGGTAACATGTGCGTTATGGTAACAGGTGCGTTATGGTAACATGTGCGTTATGGTAACAGGTGCGTTATGGTAACAGGTGCGTTATGGTAACATGTGCGTTATGGTAACAGGTGCGTTATGGTAACATATGCGTTATGGTAACATGTGCGTTATGGTAAGAGGTGCGTTAGAGTAACAGGGTTAGACCAATGTGTTTAATATGCAGGCCCAGTAAGCCATGCCTTCAAAGGATTGCCCCCCTATCCAACTAACCCCGACCGCCGAAGCCTTGGTCCGAAATATGTGACTTGACAACCACTTTGTGTTGATCACCAGGCTGGCACATTAGTGTTTAGCATTTCTAGAGCAGCCCCATGCACTGTGGTGAATCTGTGATGCTAGGTTAAGAAGCATGTATGAATTATTTAAGTGCACTTCGTAAAACATTGTGATTGAACGGGAATGTGATTTTGCTCCAACGGAAACAGGTTCCTGCACATCCTAGCAGGTCTCTCGGACCTGCCACACAGTCTCATTCACACTTTCATATATTTGTTTTCACGTCTGGGGCTATGACCACTGCTGTTGAAGGGTTGTGTCTCTCAGAGTGGACTAGTAGGAGATAGGTTACAAGTAGGAATGTCGAGAGAAATTATGTACCCTATATTAGATACCTCACTATAGCCTAACATATCTAACAAATATCTAAACATAACTTGACACACCCCCACAGGCTATGTGAGGGGCATCAAAACAAGCACAACGAGACACATTGTCACAAGACCAGTCAAGAAAGGCAACAAAGCAAGAGATGCAACTCAGGGTGGTACGACTAGCCCGTCTCTGAGACAAACGGCCACACGGCCAGTTCAAGAGTTCATATAAATATATATAAGCAACAAAACAAGCAGAAAAAAGCATACAACAAACAAGGGCTTGTCTGAACAAGTCCAAGATGTGAACTGAACCTGTGGTGGTCACCAGGCGGCAGGGCCTTGGTGAAGATGTATGCAGTGTTGGCCGCTGAGGCCACAAATACCAAGCGTGCCTGGCCGCGTCGCTGCAGCTCTCGCAGCAGGAACTACCGCAGATTGATGTGCTTCACTCTGCTCTCTAGTCGAGAATCTCGAGACAAGAGGATCATGGCCTTGTTGTCAGCGAACAAGGCAGAGCTATGCCGCTCACCTAGGTTAGTGAGCAAGAAGGTCAACCAGCGGAGCTCCTGAGCAGCCATGGCACTGGCGTAGATCTCGGCCTCAGCACTAGACTGCACCACAGACGACGACCGAGTTGACCTCCACGACACAGCTCCAGAGCCCAAGCTGAAACAGTACCCCTGAGTCGACCTGCTGGTCTCCTCGTTGTCCGCCCTGGACGAGTCGCAGTGCCCAGTAAGTCGCACTGGCTGTATCCCCCCAAGCACAAGCTCCATGCCTGATGTGGTCGCCAGGTACTGCGCTACCCTCCTAGCAGCCGTCCAGTGAACAAGACGGTGTCTCCCAGTCGCAACAAAGCGAGCCAGAACGCTGAGAGGATAGGCGAGGTCCGGTCGAGTGCATGTCATCAGGTACATGATGCAACCCAGAAGCTCTGCGTAGCGACCGTCTCGTCGGGAGCAGGAGCAGTGAGTCCGTGGTCAACAGCAAGAAGAGTGGGTTGTGTGGTGGAAAACAGAAGCTTGAACCCCCGAAGGACCTGCTGCACCATGTGAGACTGAGTAAGAGTGATGGTACGAGTGGCTCTGTCCCTGGTGATCTGCAAGCCAAGGTAGCTGCGCAGTTCACCAAGGTCAGTGCACGTGTGTCTCTTCTGCAGTTCAGACTTCATTGAAGCCAGAGTTGCTCTGTCTGCAATAGCGAAGACCAGGTCGTCGACGTAGACGAGGACGAAGAAAAGAGAGGGGCCATAACGCACGAACGGTGACGGTTCGGCGGACGAAGGACGGAACCCAAAAACAACAAGAGTGGAGCGGAGAGTGTCGTGCCGCTCACGAGGCGCCTGGCGGAGACCGTAGACTGGTCGTCTTAGGCTCCACTGGGTCCCAGGCGGGAAAGTACCAGTGAAGCCACTAGCCAAATCTTCTCGTGCAGGCTGCCTTGGAGAAAGGCATTGGATAGGTCTATTGAGTGCAGCTCGTAGTCTCGCTGTGCTGCGACGTGTAGTAACACCCGAAGAGTGGTCATCTTCGGGGTGGGGGAGAAGGCCTAGAAGAAGTGTACTTCCTCACACTGACTCAAGCCTCTAGCCACGTAGCACGCTTCGAAGACAGGCGGCGATCCAGGCGGCCGCTTCACCTTGAAGATGTTTAGGGTGCCGGCTTTAAGTAGCCCTCGCATGCCAGCAAAAAGTCTTGCTCTTCACAAGCACTAGTTTTCTAACTCAATTGAGCACCTGTGTATCCGTATACCATAGTAGCGAATACTTTGTACAACGAGTTGTGAGATATATGTTCGAGTGTATTGCAACAGGCTACTTCCATGCCACTCATTGTCACCTAACATATCTAGTACCTACACTTCTCCTGGCATTAGTCGTGCCGTTATCCATCCCTACTACTTCCTTCCCAACTGTTTTGCTAATGGGCCTTACTTGTGCCGCTCGTCAAACGGGTTCCTCAGGTTCATGTGCACCATCAGGTTCTTGTTGATGCTCCGGATCACACCCCCCCCACCATCTCCTCTCTCGATGCTATGTGCACCATCGCTGTTACTTGTGCCGATCGTCAAACGGGTTGCTTAGGTTCATGATGATGTTGATGCTGATGTTGTTGATGTTCCGAATCACACCCCCACTCTCTCCCCTCTCCGTGTTTGTAGCACCGCCACCGGGACTGCTGCTGCTACCACGTGCACCGCTGTTCCCCTCGCCGCCTTACTTGTGCCGCTCGTCAAACGGGTTGCTCAGGTTCATGTTGATGTTGATGCTGATGTTGTTGATGTTCCTGATCACACACACCCCCACCCTCTCCTCTCTCCGTGTCTGCAGCACCGAGCTTCGAGACGTCTCTAAGCTGTCCTCCTCACAGCCTTACTTGTGCCGCTCATCAAACGGGTTGCTGAGGTTCATGTTGATGTTGATGCTGATGTTGTTGATGTTTCGGATCACACCTCCCCCTTCTCCTCTCTCCGTGTCTGCAGCACGGTCACCTGGACTGCTGCTGCTACGTGCACCGCCGCTGTCACGATTAGAAACACTGTAGTGGGGCGGATTAGTAACACTGTAGTTATGCAGAATGCTGGAGGAAGAGGCTCCAGCAGCTTCCCTGGCAGCCGCAGCAGCAGCAGCAGGACCAGTACCAGCAACGCCAACAGCACCAGCAGCAGACCCAACAGCAGCAGCAGCACCAGCAGCAGCAGCAGAGGCAGCGGCAGGAGCGGCATCAGCCATAGGCTGAAGGGTGCTGCGCTGATTGGCCTGCTTAACCCTACTCTTCCTGCCGCCACCCGTTTTAGGTGCAGAGGACGACTGGCTGGCAACGGCAATGTGGTGCTGGCAGAGGAGAAAGCCTTCTCGAGCCATGCGCTTGCACACCCACCCCTTGCCGTCCGTCCTGCTGCACCTCCTACCCACCACCTGCCCACTTGCACCTGCCCCTGCTCCTGCTGCGGCTGCGGCTTCACCCCCCCCTGATTCTCCTGCTGCACTTCCCATCCCCCCTCCTGCACCTGCTGCACCTGCTGTTGCTGCTGCACCTGCTGCTGCTGTTGCTTGTGTCACTCCTGTGAGCCCTCCGACTGCCCCCGTCCCTCGCCCTGTCCCTCTCCCTCTCCCTCCTCCGCCTCTTCCACCTTGGAATTTCCCACTCAAACCAGGGGGAACAGCAGCAGCAGCAGCAGTGGCTGCTCGTGGGGACCGTGTTACTGCTGCGGCTACAGCCGATGCTCCTACCTCTGCTGCCGCCGCCGCCGCCGCTGCCGCCGCTGCCACTTCCGCTGCAGCAGAGTGCAGTGCTGCATTCGACAGAAACGGTGACGCGGAAACACTAGCAGCTGATCCGGCCCTCCCAGCCGCCCGGATCACATCAGAGAGTCCCAGAGCCAGCATAGCTGCGTCTTCAAGCCGTATATTCATGCCCCACCCCCTGCCTGCTTCTCCCTGCCCCTCGCTCCTGCCTGCTACCCCCTGCCCTTCCCTCCGCCCGCCTCCACTGCTTCCCAAGGACTGCATGCCACCCCTAAAAGAAAAACTGCTGCCACCCGCACCAGCATTGCTACCATCCCCCGCACCTCCTCCTCCTCCTCCTCCTCCTCCTCCTCCTCCTCCTCCTCCTCCTCCTCCTCCTCCTCCTCCTCCTCCTCCTCCTCCTCCTCCTCCTCCTCCTCCTCCTCCTCCTCCTCCTCCTCCTCCTCCTCCTTCTCCTCTTACCCCCCATGCTGATTCCCCTATTCCTACATCCCCTCCTCCTCCTACACTTTGACTTCCTCTGAGTCCACCCAGTTGTTCCGCTCCTCTTGCTCCGCCCCATGCTGATTCTCCCACTCCGCTTGCGCTGCTCGTCCTAGGCAGGTTGCCCGTGCCTGAGTGGAACAGCATTTGCGGCGTCTCAAAAGTCGCTCCTCCGTCGTCTCCTCCTATCACGCTGCTCGTCCTAGGCAGGTTGCCAGTGCCTGAGTGGAACAACGGAAGCGTGGCCGTTCTGATGGTGTGGCCACCACCAGCAAAGACTGAGGCAGCAGCAGAAGCAGCAAGAGCAGTACGAATAGCAGCACTGCTTGCATCAGCACCAGAAACACTAAAACCACGAGAACTGGCACCAGCAGAGACCGCCACCGCCGCAGCAGCAGCAGCAGAAGCCGCAGCAGCAGAAGCCGCAGCAGCAGGAGTCAATGGTGGGATTCCCTGCAATTCAAACGCAGCGGCAGAGGCAGCAGCAGCAGCAGCAGCGGATGCAGAAGAAGAAGCAGCGGGGTTGGAATCAGCAGCAAGGTTGGGTGACGAGTGAAGGCCCAGAGAGAGTGAAGGGGGAGAAGGGAGGAACGACGGAGGGGCAGACTGGATGAATGGCCGAATGGGAGGGGGCGAGAATGGGTGAGAGAAGAGAGGCACGGGGGGAGGCGGGGCAGAAAAGGCGTTGGAATCTGGGTGGGTTCGGAAAGGGGGACGTGGGGAGGGGGGTGCGGGCGCCGGGGGTGGGGGAGAGAAGAGAGGCACGGGGGGAGGCGGGGCAGGAAAGGCGTTGGAATCTGGGCGGGTTGGGAAAGGGGGACGCGGGGAGGGCGGCGTTGGGGCTTGGGGTGGGGGAGGGAAGAGCGAGGAATGAGGGGCTTGGTGCGCAGGAGGGGGTGGGAAGAGAAAGGAATGAGGGGCTTGGTGCGCAGGAGGGGGTGGGAAGAGCGAGGAGAGAGGAGATTGGTGAGGGGGTAGCGATGGGACGAGCGAGGAAAGAGGGGATTGATGTGGGGTTGGGGGGGGGAAGAGCGAAGGGAATTGGTGCGGGGGTTGGGTTGGGAGGAGAGGAGAGAGATGGGCCTGATGGATCAAGCCTGCATGGAAGAGCGCGCGAGTGGAGGATGGCTGAAGGGAGCTCGCCTCAAAAGGGGAAACTCGTGGTGCTGGTGGCGGGGCGGATCGAGGGAAGTCTGAGGCCGGGTGGAGTTTGCTTGCCAGTGCTCCTGCTCTCTCATTCTCCCGCTGCTTCTCCCCCTGCTGCTGCTGCTTCTGCTTCTGCTGCTGCTGCTGCTGCTGCTTCTGCCGCTGCTGCTGCTGCTGCTGCTGCTGCCGCTGCTGCTGCTGCCGCTGCTGCTGCTCGCCCTGCGGCTGCTGTCTCACGGTGCACCTAAGCTGCACCAGGAACGGAGGTTCAACGAACTGAGCCGCACCCAATCGTGCATCGCGCGTGCTCGCCTCAAAGTGGCTCAGAAAATGCTCGAAGCTGGGAGTTGCCTCTAATCTTCCTTCTGCTGCTGCTTCTGCTGCTTCTGCTGCTGCTGCCACTGCTGCTGCCGCACCACCAGTTTTAGCAGCAACAGCAGCAGCAGCAGCAGCTGCACGCGCGCTCGCATCCGGGCTGTAAGCAGAAGCAGCACGAGCAGAACCAGGAGCGTGAGCCCCAGATGCTCTGACACTACCGATTCTTCTTCCTCCTGCGACTGTTGTTGCCCCTCCTGCGCCTGCTGTTGCCCCTTCTGCCAGAAACCCCCCTCCCCATTCCCCACCCCCCCCCTGCCCTGTCATTAACGCCCTCTCCCCTTCCACGAACTTTCCCTTTCCCTTTCCTGCCAAAAAACTCCCGCCCAGTGTCAGGGCGAGACCTTCATCCTGAGCCAATCCAATTGCGCCACGTGTCCCACTCACCACACTGTTCAGATGCGCCACTTGCTTTCCAAGCTGGGGGGTTGCCATCCCGGCCCCATCAAAACCCCACATCTCCGCCTTACCACCCACAGCCCCCTCACCCCCCTTCCCCCCATCACCGCCCCACCTCTCCGCCTTACCCCCCTCACCCTCTTCACCCCCACCGGGGTCCCACCGTTGCAACTGCCCCCTATCACCGCCCCACGTCTCCACCTTTCCCCCTTCGTTTCCCTCGAATCCCCCCCTCTCCCCTTTCCTCCTATCACCCCATGACCCCTCTTTCAGTCCCTCTTTCAATCCCTCCAATCCCTCTTTCGATCCCTCTTTCAATCCCTCTCCCACTCCCCCTCCTTCTCCCATTCCCGCTCGCTTTTCCACCCCCTCGGGCTCACGCCAGTGAAACAGCTCCAGGGCCTCCCCACCACCACCACTGCCAGCAGAAATCGCAACAGATGTACTGTCGCCCTGCCCTGCTGGTGTTCCAACAACCCCACCCACTCCAGTTCGCTGCATCTGGACTTCTTCTGTGCGCTGAATCTGGACATCTGCTCGGCCCCCCACGGCACTCGTACCCCCTACAAGCTCTCCTGCTAAATTCCCAAACGATTGACCTTCTCTAGGGTGCATTGGTATCGGCGGGCGCCCTACTAACGAATCATATCTTATCGAGTGCCTT